GAGCGGGATGATTGGCGGTATCGCGCGATAGGATTGCTTCTAGTGTGCGGGCAGAGCGTGTGGCGAATTACGTCCGTGATGTCGCAGTGCCACGCGGATTTGCGCGGCCTTGGTGGAGAGTGCGTCTGCGTGGCGCCGTGCCACTGGGGAGCGTAAAACACGCTGGTGTAAATGCGGCGTTTCGCTGGTGTGCTATATATATATATATCAGTTTGATTCTGTGAATCGCATTCCGCTCGATTGCATAAATCGAGAAGTGTACTGCGTTTTTTGGCTCAAGAAAAACAAGCCCGACGTGCTGGGCATTTGCGCGTTTCATAACCACAGGTTATGAGCCCAAGGTTCTTCCAAGCCCACCCTTGACTGTTCCGTGGACAGCAAGGTCGTTGGCTCCCACGGAGCAGCATCGACGGCGGCAACGGATGAGGTCTAAGGATGGCGGTGAAGCGGGAGATCAACGACCTGGAGAAGGAAGTCGGGGAGGTGAGCTTGAGATGGGGCAGCCGACAGGAGGCTGAACCTGCTTCTTTCGGAGCATCGCCGGTCCCAGCGGGCGTCCTCGGCACCAACCACAGGGCATCCTGGAGGTTCACAAAGTGCTGCGCCTGCCGCGAAATCTGCACATGGAGGTTCACAAAGTGCTGTGCCTGCCAAGAAATCTGCACTTCAAGAAACAAGTGAAAACTCTAATCAAAATGGAGGGACGCTTCCGAGAATGATCCGAGCATGACGCCAGACCGTCTCGCGCGCGTCGTTCCGCAAGGCTTGACTCGCCAGCTTCGGAGCCACCCTTTCTATTGAAAAACACAGCATTTCGTGTGTCCGCTATCTCTCGAAAACGCATTTTGTATTGCGCCTGCCACCAAATCTGCGCATGGAGGTTCACAAAGTGCTGTGCCTGCCACGAAATCTGCACCTCGAGGTTCACAAAGTGCTGCGCCTGCCACGAAATGTGTACATGGAGGTTCACAAAGTGCTGCACCTGCCACGAAATCTGCACCTCGAGGTTCACAAAGTGCTGCGCCTGCCACGGAATCTGCACATGGAGGTTCACAAAGCGCTACCCCTGCCGCGAAATCTGCGCGTGGAGGTTCACAAAGTGCTGCGCCTGCCACGAAATCTGCGCATGGAGGTTCACAAAGCGCTCTGCCTGCCACGAGATCTGCACTTCAAGAAACAAGTGAAAACTCTAATCACAATGGACGATTCCGAGAATGATCCGAGCATGACCCGAGACCGTCTTGCTCACGTCGTTCCGCAAAGCTTGACTTGAACTGGAGCTAGCTCTTGAAACTAGAGCTAACTGGATGATGAGTGGTGCGTGATAAGTGGTACCTGGAACTAGAGCTCTTGAAACTAGAGCTAACTGGAGCTAGAGCTCTTGAAACTAGAACTAAGTGGATGATGAGTGGTGCATTGGTGCGTGATAAGTGGTGTATGATGAGTGGTGTATGATGAGTGGTGTATGATCAGTGATGTATGATGAGTGGTGTATGATGAGTGGTGTATGATGAGTGGTGTATTGAACAGCTGTTGAATGTCCGTAACACGGAAGTTTTGCGAACTTCCTTTGACGAGACTTCCTCGAAAAGTGAAGCGCCAAGCCTCCAAAACCAGCGTTTCGTACGAGACGTCCTCCAAAAGTGAAGCGCGACCAATCCAAACGCAATCTCATCTGCGTTTCGCGCCCTCGACACGCGCGATCTCCGCGGAGGGTTGTGCGCGACCAATCCAAAACGCAATCTCACCTGCGTTTCGCGCCCTCGACACGCACGATCTCCGCAGAGGGTTGCGCCGGACCGGGCCAAAACGCAATCTCGCCTGCATTTCGCGCCCTCGACGCGCACGATCTCCGCAGAGGGTTGCGCCGGACAAATCCAAAACGCAATCTCACCTGCATTTTGCGCCCTCGACACGCACGATCTTCGCAGAGGGTTGCGTTTCGTGGTGCTCCGGCAGCGGCCTTAAGAGAAAGAAACGAAGAGCGACAGGATACGCAGATGTGAGCTGTGCAGATGTGAAGATGTAGATGTGCAGATGTGAAGACGCGACGATGTAGATGTACAGATGTGAAGATGTGCAGATGTGAAGATGAGCAGAGATGTAGATGTGCAGATGTGAAGATGAGCAGAGATGTAGCTGTGCAAATGTAGATGTGAAGATGTGAAGATGAGCAGAGATGTAGATGTGCAAATGTAGATGCGCAGATGTGAAGATGTGAAGACGTAGATGAGACGTAGTTCTACAGATGCTTTTTTACGAAAAACCTTTCGCAGACGCTCTCGGGAACAACTGGCTGAACAAACCCCGTCAATCTTCAGACGCAGAGTGGCGCCGCTTCCTGAGCCTCCAACAGACTCGTTTGTCGCCCTGAAAAGCAGGACAGCTCAAGCCAAGCTCCGCGGGCATAAAGCTTAATCGGCTCAACTTCATTCAGATTCAACATGATTCAACCAACACGCATTCATTCCGTGCGTGCGCATGTATACCCAGCCAATATACCCAGCCAAGTGCCTGCAAGTGAAATGCTTTCATTGCTTCCTTGGCCAGTGTACCTGCAGTGCAACGCAAAACGCGAGCTTGAATCATGTCACAGCCGCGGGGGCCAGTGCGCACGAGTTGTACCCACGGCTGAAAGCGGCAAACCCGACCTCAGCTGTGTCTAGCCCTCACATTGTCGAGGTGTTCCGGTTCGGTTTGGGCAGCTTTGAGCTTTTGCTTTTGGCTCAAAGTTTTGATTGAACGTGTTTCATGTATGCTCAGAAATGTACATAGTCAAACACCTGCGTGTATTGGTTTGCAGGTACGCGTAAAATCAAGGATTGCAAGACTTTATCTTCTGGTAAATTCTGAGAGCGGTGCGTTGCCGAGGCTGAAGGCAATGTGCCCAGCCCGATCGTCCCAGAAGGAGTGGGCTTGCTCCGAACTGCAAAGCCAGAAAAACGTTTTCAAGTATATAAATATTTAATCCACCTACTAGTAGCTGCCAGTTTTGCCTTTACCACTCCCGCGCGTCAATTTTTAGCTTCAGGCCTGGAAAACTGTCGGAAGCGAATCGCTCCAGACACGCCTCGAAGCAACGAAGGGCGTTGATTCGGCATTGATTGAATTGTCAGTGCCACTGATCTGTTGCCCCAGCCTTTCCATCTATGCTCGCAAACCCAAGGCTTGACCTTGTCCTACAGAATGTGTGAGGGGTGCAAACTGAACGAGCACTTGCTCACGTCTTCAAATCAGAGAATCAAACCGAACATTGGAGCGCAAGCCTACCAGTCGGAGTTTACGTGAACCAAAACGCAAGCCAAATTCAAGTGTCAGGAAAGCGGGGCAAGAGGAGGAAACCAAAAAAATGGCCCCGGCAAGAGACCCCAAACAGTGCGTGCGAGGTCTAGAGGTGCAGCAGCAGAAAGTCTACGAGATCTAGACGCATTGGGGTCCAGAGGCGATGGTGGCAGTGGGAGTGGGAGTGTGATTGAGTGAGTGAGTGTGAGTGAGAGTGAGAGTGAGTGTGCGCGTGTGAGTGGGGAGGGTGAGAGTGAGAGTGAGAGTGAGTGAGTGTGAGTGTGAGTGTGGGCGAGTGTGAGCATGAGTGAGTGAGTGAGTGAGTGAGTGTGAGGGTGAGTGTGAGTGAGTGTGAGTGTGAGCGAGATTGAGTGTGAGTGAGAGTGAGTGCGAGTGAGAAAGAGTGAAAGTGAGAGAGTGAGTGAGTGTGCGAGTGAGAGTGAAAGTGAGAGAATGAAAGAGTGAGAGTGAGAAAGTGAAAGAATGAGAGTGAAAATGGGAGCGAGAGTGAGTGTGAGAGTGAGTGAGTATGGCGGGTCCCTTAGATACCCCCCCCGTCCAGACCCCCTGGATTAATTTAGAAAATAATCCACATAACCTCCAGTTAATTTTCAAAAATTAATCCAACAAGTGGACGACAATCAGATTAACTATATAAAATATATTAAACCACATTGATTTCACATCCATAATCCTTCAAGTAAATTGATGTTCCAGGAAGTTTGCC